GGCGGGAATCCGGTCCAGCGCGGGTCGTCTATTTTGCAAAAGAGACCTCGTTGCCTTTCTAATTCACATTACGACTGTTGATGCTATTCATTTCAGTCACAAGTTTTGCATTCCGATCCAAAAAATCATTTTCTAATCTTACCTTTCTCCCTCCTGTCAGTACACGGAGCAGAGGAGCACCGGCTCCGGCCGACGGCGATGGCCCTGCTGACCCGGGCTGGTGATGGCATGCTGGCCCGAGCGGCAGGCGCGGTGGCCACGTGGGGGCTTCGCAGGCCCGCATGGCCAGGAAGTGGAGGCGGCAGTGCACAGGACGCAGCTGGGCAAGGCCGTCTGCGAGCATAGCAGCGGCGGTGGCGGTGCTGTAGCATTCCAGCGAGGATGCGGTAAGGCTAGGAAAACCGGTGAGCTAAGGAGGTGCAAGAGCTCGCCTAGAGCAGGTGTCCGTGGTTGGTCGGGCTTGACGAAAGCTCGGAGGTGGTCGCCCGCATGCACAGCGCCGCTGGAACACGACGACGGCATTTGATGGCGTTCCCGTCGAACGACAACGTCAGACCAAACTATACAAAAAGAAACCAGGAGGTATTAAGGCGATGCTAAAACTCGGCTTGAACAGGACATAGAGAAACGGAGCAGCACAAATGTAGAGCTCCATCTCCGGCGACCATGGCGGACCACGAGCACGAGATTCCAAAATTCGTCACGTACCGTTGATGGATGGCAACGAGGTCCCGTCCAGGGGGCTATATACAACCAGGTTCACTCATGACTGCGAGGAATTGGAATGGAAGTAACTGGCGTAGATGAATTTCTGAAAGAGGCGGAGGCGGTCGCGGCACTCGGTGGCTCGGCTACGGCCGCTGGCGGCGCTGCGGGCACGGGCGCACAGGAGGGGCAGCGGTCTAGAGCGGACCGGGGGCTCGCGCGCGGGGAAGGGCCGGCACCAACGGACTGGCGCGATGACAGCGGCGGCGGTGGCCGAGCACGGAGGTGGAGCGGCGCGGGAAGACAACGCTGTGGTGCTGCAGGTCCAGCGCGAACCGGGGCGGGGCACGGCACGGCGACGGCGGCGCAGAGGAGGCTCGAGGCGAGGCGGAGCTGCGCGCGGCCAAGGCGTGCGGCGGGGCAGGGAGGAGCGGCACGTGGGGCGTCGGCGGCAACGGTGCGCCGAGGAACAACGGTCCAGCGCGGAACCGGGGTATGCGTGCTCGCGAGGGGAAAAAGGGGAGAGACGACAGGCGGCCGGCGGTGCTGACACTGGGGTGCAGGGCGCGGACGGAGGCGAGGAAGAAAGGGCCTAGTGCAGCTGCAGTGACTCGGTTGCTGGTGCTGCAAAGGTGCGTTGGGCGCTGGTGCTGTAAAGAGCACATACACAGCACGGCTGCTGGTGCTCCCATTAAAAATTCGGACAAGACCACCTGCTTAGAGAGTGCACGGGCAGCAGGCGATGTGGCGGCGCGGGGTCCGAGGCGAGGACTGCTTGGCTCAGCACAGAGGCAGACAGCAGCGGCAGGCAAGGACAATCAGAGACAGAGGCAAAGAAAAGAAAGAGGAAAACAACGATTCGACAACGCGGCGCGACGCAAATAAATTGGATGATTGACTTCGAGCAGGGAACGCACCACGGGGTTCTGCTACGCACAGGGAAGAGGAGTAGCTGAGTCCGAGTGGCGTCGGCTAGTGGCAGAGCAGGGAGACGTCCCGTCCTCGCTGTGGATCAATCCGCTCGCTAGTCAATAATTAAACCACGACAGACAGCTGAACACATGGACGTTGAGTGGCTCTGCTCGCTGCGGCAGGGTAGGTAAAACGAGAGGCTATGAACGTGCAACAGCATTGGTTTTCCCAAAACCCAAGTTGCGCTTTCATCTACCCGACTTGTACTTCAATTTTTTTTATTAAAAGCCCAACACACGTTCTATATTATTATTGATTTATAAAAATCACATTTTAAGTCAAATTATTAACTTACACTTCAAATTTTATTTAAGTTCTAATTACAAGTTATATTTTATTTGGTTTATAAAAATTGTTTTTCCACGCTTAATCCCATAGAACAAACCATCCGCTACTTATTTGCTAGAATTGTTGTCAGTTATTCTTAAATATCTTTACGCACTGAATAATTTAACTTGGACGTTTATTCGAGTCCACAAAACTGAGTCACACATGATTCCCTTATCACTTCAAATATGTTTTAAATAAAAAAAATCCGAGAAACTCGCTTCGAAAATTTTCTTATGCCTAAATCGCGGTGCTAAACGAGCTCGTAATACTAGAGGTGTTACACATACCTCCACATATATTTCAACCCCCTCCTTGCATTGACGTTGGGCAAAATCTTATCTTTAAGCTTCTTGGCAATTTTTCTTCTCAAGAACATTTTATCCATGCATTGTCTTATCCTATCCATAAGATCAACTATAGGCAGTGATTTCTCATCCCTAATCCAGCTGTTGAATGTTTTAGCTATGTTATTTGTTACATAGTCACACTTGCTTGCTTCAGAAAATAGGTGCCTTGTCCATAGGTGCTTATGGTTTTCATGTATCCACTTCATAGCTTCAGGACATGCTTCATACATCAAATTGTAGTGCTCTTTAAACCTGTGCTTTTGAAAAGCTCACATGCTGGCCACAAGTGCTTCTCAAAAACCTCACCTCTGAACCGTTTTTGGAAGTTTGCAACTAAGTGTCTCATGCACTCTCTATGCTCAACTCCATTTTTGAAGACTTGGGTAACAGCAGAATCAATTCCTTTGCCTGCATCTGTTGAGATCACTAGGCCCGGAGGTGATCCAATTGCTTGATGAAGTCTCCTAAAAAACCAAAACCAATTTTCAGTTGTCTCTGATCCAAACACACCGTAGCACACTGAAAACATCCAATTATGCCCATCAATAGAAGTAGCAGATGCAAGTTGTCCCTTCCATTTCCCAGTCAAATGAGTAGAGTCTACGCTAAGGAAAGGCCTGCAACCATTTAGAAAACCATCTACACAGACTTTTAGGGCAACAAACATTCTTGTAAATCTCATCTTCTTTCCCACTCGCTCATATTCAATGTCAACTAAACTTCCTGGATTGGTCTTCTCCACCTTAGCCTTGAAACTAAAAGCATGCTCAAAGCTGTCATCCCACTTCCCTTTGAGTTGTTCCACAACCATATTCCTACCATCCCACACTACATAATATGACAACTTCAGGTGATACTGTTCTTCTAGTCTTTTCTTCAGTTCTTTAGCTCCAGTTGTGAGATCCTTTGCAAGCCAACTAAGAACCCTATCCTTGACCCAATGATTGGTTGCCATGCAGTTATGCTCAACTTTTCCGGTGCTTTGACAAGTATGCACATGAGGTATCTTTTTTATCTACACTAAATGGGAAAAATTAAAGTTGTATAAATATGAAATTGTACAAAATTGTATATAAACAATAATGCAAGTTGCAAAATCATACCTTCCAGGTCATCCCATCCTACAACTGTGAAGCATGTATCCTCCACTTGCACCGTTCAGCTTTGCAGTAGCCTCTGTATCTTGTTGACTCAGAATAGGTAGTTGCAATTTCATATTCACCATTTATTGCATATTGCCTAATAGTCTTCTTAAAAGTATCACCATCCCCAAAAGTTACACCAACTTCTATTGTTGGGTTCTCTAAGTCAGTTGCATGGACAATGGTCTCACAATCCCATGCATCCTCCACTAGTAATTCATCCTCCAAACCAATACACTCATCATCCTCTACATCGCCATCCGATTCAGAATCTGATAAATCAGAAAGCAACGATTTGTAGGGGTCCTCATCATCTAGACCAACATACTCTACATCATCATCGACCCAATTCACTTCAGGATTGTTCTGGACCTGAGGCTCTACTAGGGATGATGCAATTTCAAGAGTAGGCTACGCAATTAACTGGTTGGCAGGAGCATCAGTGCTACCCTGTAACACACAAGGCATGTTCAATATCAAGCTCCAAACAAAAATCATCCCTCATTGAGAGCCTTCTTATCTCTCAATACATGTCAATTGCATGCAACAGTTTGTTATCAGAATCAATTTCTTCATAGCTACGACTCATATTATCCCAATAGGTGACACATAACTTATGTTTAGAGTCTAGCTGAATTTCTGTACCAATTTCAAGTAGCAAATCATTCCAATTTGTGGTATCCCTGTCTAAAATCTTAGCAATGTTACAAGCATCACAATACTCATGCTTGCCATCTTCAGTCAATTTAACAAAAGCACCTACACGTGCGGCAAACATGTAGGACGAATTGGGATCCATCCTACATATATAAATATGAATAGAAACATAATCTGAATGAACACGCCATATGATTTCAATTGAGGCTAGGGTAACAGGAGATAATATGAATGAACCATAGGGTAGGGATAGTGGCAGAAATTAGTTACCCGTCGGGAACCCATGAGAGATCAGCATGCTCCTCGAGGAAAATGTCGCTCAAGAATCGTGGGGACTCCATCACCGTCACTACCTCCGGATCGGCGCCGCCACGCTCCCTTCGCTTCTCTGCTGACGAGCGGGCGCTGCCGCCATCACGGAAGCGAGCCTCATTGTCGTCGCTAAGCAGCAACCGCTCTGGGGCGCCGCCACCCGGCCGTCGCCGAGGCGCGCCGCGGCAGTGGGGAGATGGCACGGCCGCTTCCTGCTGCTTTTCCGTGCGAGCGAGTTGAGGGCAGCCGCACGCACCGATGCACGGGCTCCTGAAGTCCCGATCCGAACTGAAGGGATAAAGAGGCAAGGGCATATCCATCATTTCACGTGGCTGTCCATTAAAAAAAATAATGAATTGGGTGTCAAGAGCGTATTACCCATAATTTTTTTATGTCTTTTGGATAAGACATATTTTTTTAAGTTGTTTTTAGCAAAGGCCACGTTCTAACGATGTCCCATGACCAATTTTGCCAAAAGGAAAACTGAGCAGGAGGCCGGTGTCTTGGGTGCCCGTCGTCGCCAGAGGCGGGCACAATGCCGCGCCTCCGCCTCCGCCTCCCTCTGGTCCTCCTCCTCCCAATAGCCCTCACCATCCTGCTCTTCCTCTTCTTCCCATCTTCCCCCCGCCCGCGCTCGCCCCAGCCGCAGCCGCTGCCGCTCCTCTGCGGCGCCGCGCTCTCCGATGCCGCCGACGGCCGGTGGGTGCCGACCCCGTCCCTCGCGCTGCCGCCACTATATTCTCCGTCCTGCCCCTTCCACCGCAATGCCTGGAACTGCCTCCGCAACGGCCGCCCCCAGCTCGCGGCACTCTCCTGGGCGCCCACCCGCTGCGGCGGCGCCGTCGTCCCGAGGATCGACGCCGCGGGGTTCCTGGCCGCGGCCAGGGGGCGACGGATTGGGCTCGTGGGGGACTCACTGTCTGAGAACCTCATTGTCGCGCTCCTCTGCGCGCTCCGCTCGGCGGACGACGGCGCCCGCAAGTGGAAGCGGCGTGGCGCGTGGCGCGGAGGGTACTTCCCCAAGGAGGACGTCGTCGTCGCTTACCACCGCGCCGTCCTGCTCGCCAAGTACACGTCAGTGAGTGCTTTATGCTGCTGATAGCTGCTGCTTTCCCGGATTGTTTAGTTTTTTAACATAGTTATTAAAAGAGCAATCCTTCTAGTACTTCTCTGAGATTACCATGAATGGTACCTAGATAAGAGGTGTTAGCATCCTTTCATTAATGCATTGTCTTGGATGCAGAGAGCGCAGATGCGAATTTGTGAGTGAGGAGGGCAGATAGAAAATATGAGTTTATCTATCTACTACGTTTGCAGTAGTTGTAGTTTTCTACATTGCAGCAGTAGTTATATTTGAGATGAGATGTTTCAGTTGCTTGGCTTGTTTAGGATACAAACATGCAATCCAGAAGAGTTCTTAGAAATTGGAACAACTATTGAAACATTTAAAACTGTAAGACTGCAATGCAGTGCCATTACATGAGGCAGAGGGCACAATCTGAGTCATGTGGCGAATTCTATAAAAATGATCTTCAAGGAAGATGCACATGCAACAAACACATACTGCATTCACATACACAAGTAGAAAACATAAAAACGCACACACATTTTACTATTCAAATTGTTCATGTTTTTAAAAAATGATAATTGCTGATGACCGGCAAACCATCATTCTATTTCTAGATGTATAGGAAAAATACTCCACTGGTGGTGTATGCTGCAACACACACAAAAAAAAAAGGCAGACCCAGTGCCGGAGGCTCCCACATGAGTGGGGTCACTAAAAAAATATTTTATCACACATTAGTCAGCCTGTGTTTTCAACTTCCTCACCATAATTAAACTGTTTTGATCCATAAGCATGCAAAAAAACTGTTTTTCTTTTTTTTTCTCGAACGACACAAGAGAGCTGCGTGTCATTTCATTAAGAAGAGAAAGAATACAAGGAGAGGCCAGCGGTCAAGCCCCACAGATATCTAGTTACAGATGCACCACTTACAATAGAGACTCAACCTCGACAAAACAGGCCTTGATCTAGATGTCAAGGTTAAGTGATCTGATGAGTAGTTAGTGGAGAGCTGATGCACCAGCCATAGACCACAAGCTACTTTCGTTTGCCACTGCCTGTAATACTACCGAAATACAAGGCCTAGCACCCTCAAACACACAAGGATTGTGATGTTTCAATATCTCCCAAGACACAAGGATGATGTGGGAGTTCTGCTCTTTCTTGCTATTCTTAGGAACACTTTGACCCAATTTTAGGAACACCATGGCACCAGTTGGAGAAACAAGTGGCAGTAGGTTGAGGAGCAAGGGCAACCAGACCCAATTTTTGGATGATAGACAACCAAACCTGTGTTGTAAAAAAAGACACAGGAGACTAGAATATGTTGAATTGTCTCATCTTCTTTATCACAATGGGGACAAGCACTGGGATGTGGCAGCCCTCTTTTAGCCAAACGATCTGAAGTCCGGTACCTATTCTTGATCTCCAACCAGAAAAAGAACTTGCAGCGGAGCTGGGCCCATGATTTCCAGACGCATTTTCATTGCGCAAACTTGATGGAACCGAGAAAATATGCATTGTAAGCCGGCTTACTAGTATAGGACCCTGACTGGGTTAGGCGCCATATGTGTTGGTCTGGCACATTTTGCTGCAAAGCAAAGTTACCTAGCAGATCCCACAGGACTTGTACAGTCAGTGCTCCCTTAATGTCTGCCACCCATCTCCTGCCATCAAGAGCTTGGGAGACTGTCCACTGCTTAATTGCTTGTTTAGAGATTATCTTGATCAGGTTCGGAGCAAGCTCTGCCACTGTTTTTCCTTGCGACCAGTGATCAATCCAGAACCTGCTATCGAGATCTCCTGCCAACTAGGCTTGAGCATTACATGGCCATGAATTGGTAAACCAGCCCATGGCCAATCAGCCTCAGTTTTCTGTAAGTAGAGCCAACGTATGCGCAAAGCCCATCCCATGATCTTGAAGTTTGTTATGCCTAAGCCACCATACTGGAGGGGTTGCTCAACGCGCTCCTAGGAGACAAGAAATTACCTCCATTTACTTGCTCCCTACCTTTCCAGAGAAAGCCCCTTCTTCTCTTGTCAATAGCTTTGATAACTCACTTACGTAAATCCATGGAAATCATTAGGTAAATAGGGATGGAAGTCAACACCACACAGACAGTAATTAAGTGGCCCACTTCATTCATGAGAGAGGCTTTCCAGCCCAGGAGGCTGTCTGACACCTTGTCATTGATAGGTTAGATCTCAGTTTTAGTGGGTTTGCGGACTGTTAGGTGAAGGCCAAGGTAGGTGCATGGGAATTCTTTGATCTGACAAGGTATAACTTCAGCGATGACTGCTAGCTCATCATCAGACCATCCAATAGGAGTTAGAGAACTTTTTTGCATATTAGTATTCAACCCAGAAGCATGACCAAAGACCTCAAGCTCCTTGATGAGACAAAGGTCGGTTCTTGTTGGACGGATGAACAGCACTACATCGTTCCAACACTACATTTTTTTTGTTCTTTTTCTTAAAAGGCAAGTTTTATAGGACGGCGATTAGACCTGCTATGTTGTATGGTTGAGAATGTTGGCCCTCTCGCTCTCTTTCAAAAGGCGACGCACATGTTCAATGATAAATCTATCACGTGTCGTGGAAAAATGCGTCGAAAATACACGCTATGCGTTGGATTTGCAGTCATACAAGAAGGGATCGCGTCCGGAACGATGATATACGTGATAGATTAGGGGTAGCACCAATTGAAGAAAAGCTTGTCCAACACCGGTTGAGATGGTTTGGACATGTCCAACGGAGACCTCCAGAGGCACCGATGCGTAGTGGAATCCTAAGTCAGGATAATAACGTGAAGAGAGGCAGAGGAAGACCGAAGTTGACTTGGGTAGAGGCAATAAAAGAAGACTTGAAAGGATGGAATATACCCAAAGACTTAGCCTTAGATAGGAGTGCTTGGAAAACAACTATTCACGTGCCTGAACCTTGATTGCTTCTGCTGGGTTTCAACTCTAGCCTACCCCAACTTGTTTGGGACTTAAGGCTTTGTTGTTGTTGTTGTTTTCTTGGTATATGTTGTTTTGATTTTTTTTCCTACTAGTTTTTCGTTTATACCCATGAAAAGTTGCATCGGACTCTGACATAACTAGCTCACTTAGACCATGCTTACACTAAACATTGATGTTCTTGCTAAGCTAACTGTATATACATCCCCTCTCAATATCTTTCAACCAAAAACACTGCAACCAAGGCACAATGCAAGCCATATTCACCTGTAGAGATCATTGAGTACCTGCTTCTTGCCTTCATGATCATTGCCAATCATGGTACCATAGCATTATCTCAAACCTTTGTCTAGAAGGATGAAGTTTTGCATGATTTTTATGTCATTAAATCATTAGATATTGGAGGATCTGCATTATAAATATAGTTGCACAAAAAAAGAGCTTTTTTATATGCTTAGGGTGTCTCTTTGGATGATTAGTAACTTTAGCCCACCACGATGTCATAAATTTTTATAACTTCATACAAGCATAGTCAGCGAAGGTAAGGCGCACGCTATCCTGGTTATATTACAAAGAATTGGTGTGAGCATGCTTGTCCATTGCAAGTAGATGCATTTAGGGAGGATTCGAAATTGAAATTAGTTTCAAAATACACTTTGAACTAGAATTGATAGAACAAAAGCTATTGCTAATGTTGGCCAGGTGAACACAAAGTGGAACTCTGTTTTGAACTGCCAAAGGGCAGCTTGGCCTTAGCCACTTATTCTCATTTATAGGAAAAGCAAACTTGGGATACAAGAAGGTCCTCAACCACTACAGCATATTCTAACTGCATAAAGCAGATGCTACTTATTCTTAGGCTAAGAGCTGAAAACAACTTGACAGGAAACAGTAAATAGCTAAGTAGTTTTAAATAGATACATAGAGCAGCACTAGACTTAACTCTCAGCTAAACGCTAAAACATTATTGTTAATCTCTTCTGATGCCCATTGCATACAAATCACAATCCGAACCTTCACCACACGTCTTTGTATCTATAAGGGGCACACTGTTTTTTTTTACCGGGGTACTAATGGTGCTTAGATGGCCTTGAGCTGGCAGAACTTGAGTGGGGGCCTGGGCCCCTGCTCAGCTTAGCATAGGTCCGCGGTCCGCCCCTGACATGAGGGCGTGATGGCAGGAGTTGGTAGTATTCCAGTGGGAGTTGGGATGATGCTAAGTATAAATCTGGATCAGTTGCACTTGTGGTTATCTGTTCTGGAAGATCTTTTCTTGATTTCAGGTATTTTTGATGTGTAAGGGACTAAACTCCTATGGTAGTGCTGTTCCCTTGAAGAAACTTGGATGATATGTGGCAAATATTGTTCTATGCTGCATGGTTAAGTTGTGTATATTGTTTGCTCAAACGTGAGTAATTATGTCGTTGTTTTGCTCTTCTATGTATGTAAAGCAGCATGTTTAAATGCACTTTGTTTAGGATTAGATGTACTGTAACACCCAAGGAGGCAAATGATATTACTTATATTTGCCACATAAAGTTCATATTTGTTAAACATGTGGCACTTGGTCATTTCTATTTCTTGCACCTGTGTTTTTTTAGAATAACAGGATTGCATTTTTTTTTATACGCTTACTTGGTGGTGACTAATGATACAAAGGTGGCATCCTGTGGAGAATTCAGAAGAAGATAGGAAGGATGGAATAAAAGGAACATACAGAGTGGATGTTGACATTCCTGCTAATGATTGGATAAATGTCACCAAGTTCTATGATGTGCTAATTTTCAACACCGGACACTGGTGAGTTCGTTTTCCCCAAATGAATTCTTTCCTTTTGCATACTAGTAAGGTGAAAAGACCATTTCTTGTTTAGTTGGAGGCAATGGGATTGTTCAAATGTTTCTTACAGTAGTACGGTTCCGGCTCTCAGCTTCATATTGATGTCATGTTCATTCATAAAAGGGTCTTTCTTGAACAAGAACAACCTTCAGTTATTTTCACCTGTTATTGTTAATTTTCTTGACGAATATGTTTGGTCATGAATATACTAATTTGTCATTATTGTTCCTGTTGTAATGCTTTACACATTTCTCCATATCAGGTTGGATAGATATAAATTCCCAAAAGATACTCCCCTTGTTTTCTACAATGGAGGAAAGCCGATTGAACCTCCACTTGACATACACAACGGACTGAAAGTAGTCCTCAAAAGTATTGCTTCTTACATCGAAAGGGAGGTTCCTAGGAAAACACTGAAGCTGTGGCGCACACAGTCACCTAGGCACTTCTATGGAGGTGAGTGGGATCACAATGGCAGCTGTGTATCTGATAGACTTCTTGAAGAGCATGAGGTGTGGTTCTGACAATCAAACTGTTTGAATTCAGGTTATGCATTTCAAAGTTGTGAATTGTTTATTCCTTTTCACAAATCTTGTGCAGCTCAATTCTTGGTTTGATCCCCGGTTTGGGGGAGTGAACAAAGAAGCGAGAACGGTGAATTTAGCAATTCAGGAAGCCCTAGCTGACACTGAAATCCAGTTGCTCAACCTCACTTACATGAGCGAGTTCCGTGCTGACGCCCATCCAGCTATCTGGCTCGGCAAGAAGGACGCGGTGGCTGTCTATGGACAGGACTGCATGCATTGGTGCCTGCCTGGCGTGCCGGACACATGGGTCAACATCTTGGCTGCACAGATCTTGCATCACTTCAAGCAAGGGAAAGGCTGATCACAGTTTTTTTTTCTTTTTAATCTGTAGTTTGGCGATAACTACAGCACATATTATAGATATATGTAGTTTTGTGATACAACCTTTCAGATTTGTAATTTTAGTTCCAAACTACATGTCAATTTAGTTTTGTAGTTAACCTTCTTAGCTTTTTGAAACATCAAACAATATTCATTAGGTCTTCCATAATGTGATAGTGATGCCACAAAATAAATGGACCCCACATTGGGTAATGGGCACCGAATCTCCTAGGGACTACTTAAAAAAAACTATTGTTGTATTGGTTAAACTTTCTTAACTTTAATCAGGTTTATAAAAAATATTAAAAATCATTTATATCTCCAAATAAGTTTATTATAAAAAAATATTCAGCGATTTATCTAATGGTAATAATTATACACCATAAATATTAATATTTTATTATATATCTCCCGTTAAAGTTGAAAATTATTGACTCAGAGAAGTGAGAATGGCACTTATGGAATGGAGGGACCGAGGGATTAGTTTTCAAATAAGATCCTGCTTGTTAGAGCTGCTCTAACACCTCTTAAGGCTGTAGTGTTTAAATAAGGGTTTGGTAGTGTCTCTCTTGGGTTTGATTCTTTGTGGGTCCCAAAGCATGTTCTTGCCGTGTTATATTTTTTTAGGCATGAGTTAGTGTTACTTGCCATAGCACGTAGCGTGATGATGTATATTATCCTCGTCCCAAAATAAATCAACTTTTATGGTTATTCTAAATAAAACTATCCTAAGTTTGATTAAATTATAGAAAATAGTATTAATATTTATAACACTAAATTAGTATAGCTAGATACATCATGAAATGTATTTTTATAATATATTTATTTGGTGATAGCCGATGTTACTCTTTCCTATAAAGTTTGATAAACTTATGATAGTTTGACTTTAGATTATTCTAAGGATTGATTTATTTTAGGACAGAGGTAGAATGTGAATATATTTTCTATAAATTTGGCTAAGATTAGATAGGTTTGACTTTAGAAAAACTAAATTGACTTACAATTTGAGTCGGAGGGATTTACTTTGTTTTTTGATTGGCAGACACATTGTATTTTTGGAGGAGAAGATAAAGCTGGTTACAATATTCTTAAGCTCACTTCCCTATTTGGCAGGGCTTCTCCACTGGCTTCAAGAGCTGTTTGGAGCCGTTTTATGCCAAACAGGGTAAAGTGAAATAGGCTTCACTAGTGAAGCCCCTAAAACATGCTCTCACAGTTATTTGGGGTGGGATGGAGCTAAAAAAAGTGGCATCTCCTGGCTCCTCCTCCATACCTCTAAAAACATGCTCTCACAGGTGAAAGCTCTAGTTTATTTTTGGTGAATTGATAAAACCCTAAGTGCTAACCTAGTTTATCTAAGTGATCATGAGATAGGTAGCACTATTCCAAGTGGAGGAGCAATGGTGAAGATCTTGATGATGGTGTGGTGATCATAATGATCAAGTGCTTGGCTTGGAAAAGAAGAAAGAGAAAAATAAAAAGCTCAAGGCAAAGGTGAAACTTGATAGGAGCTTTTTTGGTTTGGTGATCAAGACACTTAGCGAGTGTGATCACATTTAGGATCGATAACCATACTATTAAGAGGGGTGAAACTCGTATCAAAATGCGGTTATTAAAGTGCCACTAGATGCTCTAACTCATTGCATATGCATTTAGATCTAGTGGAGAGCTAACACCCTTGAAAATGTTTGTAAAAATATGCTAACACACGTGCACAAGGTGATACACTTGGTGGTTGTCACATTTGAGCAAGGGTGGAAAAGTTGGTGAAGTTAAGGAGGTGATTTTCACTGTCTAACAGTGACCGGACGTTGCTCCCGGTGTGACCAGACGTAGGATCGGTGAGTCCGGTCAATTATAAATGAAGGAGGTGCGCTCGAGCTGCTCTCAGCCAGTGATCGGACGCTGGGTCACTTTGTGACCTGACGCGCAGGAGGTGTGTCCGGTCGCCTATGACGTACGGTGACGTAAGCGGCTGAGTGAGCGCGGTGAAGACCTGACGCGGTGGCGCGTCCGGTCGCGTGCACCTGACACGTCCGATCATGGTTTTGGCGTTTGGGGAGCTCTCTAGATGTGACCTACGCCGTGGAGGATCGGCGCGTCCGGTCGTTGGTTGCAGCGCGTGGTCTCATTAACCTGACGTAGGGCTGGCATGTCCGATCTCTTGATCGGTGCGTCAGGTCCTTCTTTAACACGAGCGCGGGAGCGAACTGACCGTTGGAGATCGGGCGGCCATGGTTTAAACGAGGACACGTGGATGATGATCAACGACCGGACGCTGGGGTGTCACGCTATGGGGGTATGACCCTCGATACCCATAGGGCTATACATGGGCCAAGCCGCTAAGGGAGGCCCAGCCTACAAGACTACGCATGGGCCGTGCCACTAGTGGAGGCCCAGCGTACAAAATGACGCCGTGCGAAGCATGACATAGGTCGGCGTGTCTTGCAAGACTGTGTGAAGATCCTCGACGATCTAGGAAACTTGCTTGGATATGCTAGATCCCGTAATATCTGATAACTTCCTTTCTTGTAAACCGATCAGGATAGAAACAATCGATCTATAACCCTACCCCCGGGCTATATAAGGCGGGTAGGGACCCCTCATTTGGATCTGAATATACGCAATACAACCCACCGAAGGACACAGGACATAGGGTATTACACCAAGTCGGTGGCCTAAACCTGCCTAATCACTGTCTCTTGCATTTTGTGTCATCGTCCAGTTCCCTCACATGCACCTTCACCGATTCATCTACTACCGTGGGCATACCCCTCGGTAGACTGCCGACCATATCTCATCAACAGTGGCGTGCCAGGTAGAGGGTGTGCGTGCTGAATCCATGGCGAACCAGATGGTTTGTTTTTCTGAGCTCCATGGCTTTTCCCGAGCGGGCCAGATCTTCACGGTAGGATCCATGACCTAGATCATCAGCCCCGACAGAACGGGAGAGATCGTGGAGGCGGTGCAGGCTCACCCTACACCGATCGTGCCAACATCTAGCAACAATATCTCCGATCTCGGCGACCCGTCGTTGGGTAAGGAGATCCGTCGACAATGACGACCTAATCGCATCTATCGATCGGGTCATCAACAACCTAGCCAAATGCTTGTCCCTCACGAGTCGGTCCTAGTTCGGTCTTCCATGAGCGATGAATTTCCCGCACTCCGAGATCACCAAGTCGCTACAACCGAGCGACCTGCTCGGTCACATCGTTCAAGGTGGCCAGATTCTGATATAGTGATCACGACTACTCCAGAAGGGCATACGGCGCGACGCCGACCACTTCCTGCAACTGGCCTACACCTGGCCTATTATGATGCTCTGATGGAGGACCCGCCAAAGCCCTATCCCTTCAGGCTAGAGGGTGCAGGATCTGCATACTAGAACGTCATCCACCACCTCTTCACCAACCACGTCGAGCGTGATGACGTCATCGACCTCTACATGATCGACCTGACTGACTCTTGTTAGCCCACGCCCATGGTCAACATGGTGGCTATTCGCTAGCTCTTGGATGATTCCCCTCTTCTGACCGAATCTCTCCACAACGTTCTAAACTAGAGCCCCGATGATTATTTTAAGGGCCCAACCAAAACTGTATCAAGCTGCCCTACTTTCCCTCCGAGGCTCAGGGGCATGATTTTCCATGTCAGCCACGATAGCGTCACCAAGGACGGCGAAACCGCTGAAGAGCGCGAAGCTCGTCTAGCGAAGAACGCTGATCGCCAATGTCGTCGAGATGCAGAAGCAGCCCAAGGGGCCAACGAGGATGGTCACGGCCCGCCCCACCATCAACGTAATCTGGAGGAGGCATTTGACATGGTGGGTGACCAGCCAGTCTACTAGACTCCAAGCGCCAATCTAGCCATCGCTTTCAACAAGCTGGACAAACTCCCTCACACTCCAGATGTCGAGAAGGTCTGAGCACATATCATAGCCGCGCAAGTCCAAGTCAATGAGTTTCAGAATGACGCCCCATCTTATTCCATCGCGTCAGCTCATAGCCGCCACTCCCGCCACGATGGAGAAGGCTAGCACCATGGCGTCGAGGGCCCCCAACCTTAGGCCAGTGGTCCCTACCTCTATAGAGGGTCTGGAGGCAACTTTGAAGCTCATTCATGCCACAACGGCCGCCCTCCACGCCCCAGGGAGGTCGGGGCGGCAACCTCAACTAGGAGGTCAATCAACCTCTCCCTTGTGACCTTCGTAACCACATCAACATCGGCGTGGACGTCCGTGGCCGCATCGAAAATAGCAGGTCCACACGCTATGAAACAGAGATGGAGCATCGCCGGCAATTCGATGCCGAACATGAGGGATTTGGTACCCGTCAAGCACCACTCCCTACCGGTCGCATCATGACTTCGCCCCTTCACGGAAAGGCTCTAAGCCGTTCGGTGGCCTATGGGTTTCAAGGTTATTGGTGTTAACACCTACGACGGAAAGGCCAACCCCGCTCAGTGGCTAACTCTATGAGGTTGCCGTGAGAGCTGCGGGCAAAAACGAGGACATCATGGCAAACTATCTTCCCATCATGCTTAACCAGTCTGCAAACAACTAGCTTCTCAACCTACGGGAGAACTCCATCTGATCTTGGGACGACCTCAAGAAAGTCTTCATCGACAACTACATGGCTACGTGCGAGCAGCCCGGCACCAAGTATGACTTGGTGAAGCTTCATCAATCCTCCGGGGAGTCCCTGCATGACTTCATCAGCGCTTCTCGGAGACAAGAAATTATGTTCCCAACATCACTAACGCCGAGGCCATCGCCGCTTCCACCAAAGGGCTCCAACACGAGCAGCTCCATCGCAAGCTATACCGCAAGAGGCCCACAACCATCGGCGAACTGATACAAACAACAAATGGATATGCCGATGCCAAAGAAGCCAAACGGGCTGCCTGCTCCGCTCACCACCAACACCGTGATGATGACCGCCGTGATGACAGGCGCTACGACGACCACGACCACTACCG